TCTGATGAGCAAATTGTTTTTTATTTTTTTAGGGTCGTTTGCTGAATCTGAGCTGCTCTACCGTGCCTTCGTTCGTCCTCTCTGTTACAGCCACAACTCAGGTTTGAAAACTGGACTTGTATCTTGTAAGCTTTGATGGATGTGCGTTTGCTCTTACATATTCATGTGTTTCAGGCCCTGGCTCTAATAGAGCTGTACAATGCACCTCAGGGTCGATACAAACAGGACATTTACCTGCTGCCAAAGAAGATGGGCGAGTTAAACACTCAACACACGGTCCTCTTTCTGCACCAACATTTGAATAAACTATTTTAAATGAAAACCTTTTTGTGTGTGTTTAGATGAATATGTAGCAAATCTTCACCTGCCGATGTTCGACGCTCATCTAACTGAGCTRACGGATGAACAAGCTGTGTACCTGAACATAAACAAACACGGGCCCTTCAAACCCAACTATTACAGGTATAATAAAGTTTTCTCTGAATACAAGTGAGAAATGATTCGATGATTACAGAGAACTGGGSGCTGCCCCTCGCTCGCTCTCTAGTGGTGAAAAAACGGTACTGCAGCTTAACATTAACTTTGGCAAACTTTAAGAAAAAATACATTTTTTTAATCATATATTTTTAATTAACCTTTTTATATCATTATGGGGCACGACATGATTAAAAAAATACACCTGAAACCAAATCTTTACTGCGTTCTGCTTATGTAGCATTAGCCTTGGTTAGCATAGCATTCATAGCTAGCAGAAGCAAGTTTAGAACTTCCATAAGCTTTAGCTACAAAAGTAAGTAGTAATGGGTGAAGTAGTAGTAGGATTTACAAGTMAAAAATAATGCAAATCTAATACAAAAAAACTTACTTGTGTCATTTGCTAAGCGAGTGTTTGATTTGGAGATAAGTTAAATCGTTCCACATCCTTCCAGGTTAGGTTCTGTAAGGTAGTTTTCTTTTCTTTTATTTTCTTTTCTTTTTTCCAACAGGTATTGATTGAAGTGACACAGAAGAAGACCCACCTGAGTTCATAAGATGGAGCATCAGCGCCCCCTGCAGTCTGACCCGTCCCTGACTGATGAAGACAACTGATGAAGACATCTGATGAAGACAACTGATGAAGACAACTGATGAAGACATCTGATGAAGACAACTGATGAAGACAACTGATGAAGACATCAATGTGACTTATCTTTTCAGCAGCATTCAGAATATGATCTCATCTTTGGAAACAGAAAAAGCATCTCACTCTGAACTTCCACAATAAATAAATAAATAAATAAATAAATAAATAAATAAATAAATAAATAAATAAATAAATAAATAAACTTTAACTCACCATGAGGAAGACTGTTACTGAAGATAAAATGAAAACTTTTTTTGTTGTTTTGACATGAATTTCTTCATCAGATCAGACTTTGGAGGTTTTCCAAGCAAACAAGAAAGTCTTTAAAATAACCTAACGTAAAGTAATAGGTTGAATTAGTAGGAATGTTTTTGTACATTCATAAAAAATATTTACTTTAATGCAAAAATAGGTTCTGATAAAAATTTAGCACAAATAAAGATTATATCATAAATAAATGCATGCAGTTTTTAATAGTCTTTGTTATATTGTCACATTGTTTTTAGGTCAGTGTGTGTTTTTTTGTCTCCCACATAAAATAAAAATGTTTATATAAATGTGTTTAAGGTGTTCGTGTTAAAAAATTATTTATACGGGCCATATAATTTTAAAAAGATGATGAAATACTATTGATAATTGCAGGTGAGGAGAGTGTGTAACCCTGTTAATTGTTAATAATGTTGATGTGTTAAATTTCAGAACAGGTAAAAATGTATTTTCCATTCTCACTTGGAATAAAATATATTTAAGTTATCAATCATTTTMTGTCTTTTTGTCTAAATCAAAACAGGGCATGATGATATTGTGTGAATTTAGATGTTTCTCCAAAAGTTCACTCTGCCCTCAGAAACACTGTTGGGTTTAATCATCTTAATATTATAAAATAAGCCTTTTTATATGTTCTTTGATAAATTTATAGTTTAATATTTTGTATAGACCCTTATGAGGAAATTCTTGGCCTTATCATAATCTGTTATTTTAATAGATTGTAATACGTAATTGTACTAATCATTTTTGTCCCTTTTCCAGGTGTTAAAAATTTTTATAGACCCATTTTTCACTTTAAACACTTCAAACTACATTTGTTCATCACTGTTGTTAATCCTGACATAACAGATATGCACGAATTAGTTCATGAYACACTAAAACAATAATATGTGTATGTCTGCATTTCTTGTTGTATATAAATGACATCACATACAACATTTACATATAAATAACAGTTACTTGAGTTAGCTTTAGTTTTGGATTCGGTTTCAGACATTTTTGCCGGTCATCTGTTCTGCCTCTGGTCTGAAGCACTAAAAATACCCCTCGGATTACTGTAATTCAGGGACTGGGTATGTGTGTGTGTGTGTGTGAATGAGGGTGGAATCAGACTCACAACAAAGTTGAGTCATCATGAGTTCAGTCTCCTGTAAGAAAACGTATTCCTGTCATTCCCCCCCTCCCCACACATCTCACACTTTTACTCTCACAGTTTCTTTTTCATGTATTCTGAGGCAAAAAGATATCGTGATGATCAGAGGAACAAATCCTTAATGTGGAAAAACATGAGGATGAACAGAAGAAGACAACAGCAATTAAACAATCATCAGCAGATGAGAAATAACGAGGAGATACATTAACTTCCACACCCAGTCTAATCTAATGACACCACTCATTTTCTTCTGTTACCACTATCTCACAGTCAGAAAGTGCGCGTGTGTGTGTGTGTGTGTGTGTGTGTGTGTGTGTGTGTGTG